ACCAAAACGAACCCTGCTGCAAACCCAACCCTATTACCCAATATCCCAGTGATTCCTCGTGGAAGTGCAGAGGCGTTCTCGGCTTCCGTCAAAGCGAGTGTCCTTTCTTGACCTGTGTTCGGGCGCGGCCAGCGCTGGTATTGCCTAGTTTTAGATCACCAGTATTTACACATTGAGGATGATTGCTAGTCCCAAGCATAGTCTATTGGTTCTCTGTGTAATTACAGCTGATCTGGCAGTAACAGAGTAGCAACCGTGAGCGGTCAATCATGCTCATGCTTATGCTCATGCTCTAATGCACATAAACATATGAACATTATTTGTATTCTAATCGTTTCATGCAAACAGCCTAGCCCAACAGCAATAAATTGGTTTTACGAGGATTCTGTAAACCATGATTTAGGCTTAATTCTTTGTAAAGCTTGGAATGTTCCGAGTTGGGAGGAAATGCGGTACTAATATCAACATGCAGCTTTAGTGCGATAATGTATTAGCCAGAGAGAGATAGTTCCGCTAGATTACGACAGTGTTTGAATTGAACAGAAGTTTATATTGAGCGAAAGGGTTACCTAACTCATACTTTGATGGTTGAGGGGATTTGAAGTATGTCCTCAAATCCACAGGCAAAAGAGTGCGCGTTTGACTTGCTCATATACTGTCTGCGGATTTGAAATAGTTCTAGCAATGATTATCACTATCTAAAGGTCCCCCCCCCCCCCCCAAACTGGCGCGTTTTTACGCCGCGGCAGCGGTAGCGAATAAATCGCGTTAACCGCGGTAGCAAAATTCGCGTGGGTACCCACACCGGAGCGGCAGTTTTTTCGCAGCGTAGTACCGATCGTGAGCAATGGATTCGTCGTCGGCTGAAGAAGAGCCGCTTTTGCTAGTTTCTTTACAATCAGAGGAAAATGCGTTGAAGTATTTTGGCAATTTCCTTAGTGATATTTGTCTACAGTTTTGTTTGATATTACAGATTTCCCACCACTGGTGATCACGGAGTTCATGGAATTTTTAATAAAGTTTGTCAATCTTTAGAAACAAAAATGTAAACCTTAACTTCCCCTGATATGAATTTCATCAGAAAAATTTGCAGATCTTCAGGAAATGTCATAGACAGCACATCAGGGAAGTTCGCATAACTTCAGAGAAATTTGCAAAACTTCAAAGAAAGTTTTTATAAAGGGCGAACACGAAATTATTGCGACACATTCAACAGGGCATAACTTTTTTACCATTGGGTAAAAATCAACCAAATTTTGCACACTTTCTCATTGATGTGTATTGTGTACATGCTGTCAAACTCGAAGTCGTGTTTTTCGATTTAACGAAAATGGAGGTGAACCAACGCGAGTTGAGAAAACAAATTCTTTCCAAACACCTGGAATTTCCTGACCTGTCGCACCGGCAGTTGGGAAAAATGTGAACATTCACCATTCAACCGTCTCCAGAGTGTTGAAGCGGTTCCAGGAGCGGTTGACGTTGGACCACGGCAAAGGAGCTGGAAGAAAACCGGGACCGGAGAACAAAAAGACGGAGGGAAAAGTGAAGCGGATGATTAAAGCAAATCCCAACGTCTCAAGCCGTGATTTGGCTAAAAAGATCGGCATGTCGCAGAGCTACGTCCAGAATGCAAAGAAGAGAGCTGGACTACATACATACAAGGTACAGAACTTCCCAAACCGCGATGAGCGGCAACAATCGACGGCTAAAACTCGGGCACGGAAGCTCTACGAGAAGATGCTGACAAAATATGGCTGCTGTGTGATGGACGACGAAACGTATATAAAATCCGATTTTAAGCAAATTCCGGGGTTGGAGTTTTTCACCGGCAAGAGCAAGTTCGATGTGGACGACAAATTTAAGAAGAAGAAAATGTCGAAGTTCGCCTCCAAATATCTCATTTGGCAGGCCATCTGCTCTTGCGGACTGAGGAGGGAGCCTTTCGTGACAAAGGGCACAGTAAATGGCGAGATCTACAAATCTGAGTGCCTCGAGAAGCGCCTTTTGCCGTTCTTGCAGCAGCACGACGAAGCTCCGCTATTTTGGCCAGATTTGGCATCATGCCACTATTCTAAAAGTGTCCTGGAGTGGTATGAGGCCAATTCTGTCCATTTTTTTTTTTTTTTTCCAAAGAACATGAATCCGCCAAACTGTCCGGAGCTGCGCCCGGTGGAGCAGTACTGGGCAATAATGAAGCGGGAACTTCGGAAGAGCAAGAAGACAGTCAAAGACGAGAAGAACATGTTAAGAAAATGGAAAAAAAAAACTGAGAAACTGGTACCGGATGACACTGTAAAGACTTTGATGGAGGGCATCAAGCGAAAATGCGTTCAATTTTACACTCAAGGCTCCATCGATTAACTTTTCTTTTGATTTTGAAGTAAATGTATGTATAAAACTACCCTAAAATTTTGGTTTGATTCTAAACATAAGAAAATTGGCATGACATTTTCGGTGTCGCAATAATTTCGTGTTCGCCCTTTATCTTCAGATAAATTTGCAGAACTTCAGGAAAATTCGTAGACCATTAAACACTTTGCAGAATTTCAAAGAGATTCACAGAACTTCAGAAATGTCGATAGATCATCAGAGAAATTCGCAAAACAACAGGGAAGCTCACAGAACTTCAGGAAAGTTCGTAGATCATAAAATAAATTCAAGTTGAAGATTGAAAAATATCTTCCGAGGAATTTTCGAAATTTCAAGGAAGTTCACAGATTTTCAAGGAAATTCGTTGAACTTCAGGGAAATGTGAAGAACATCATACCTTTTGCATGTTGTGCTGTTGAATATTTCCAGAAGAATGATCATTCTGAAGTCTGGTATCTTTTAAGATATTTTAGAAGATTTTCTTTGAACTCTCGGACAGTCTATTGAAAACTCACTCTGAGTTCGCTCTTAGTATTCTCCCGATATTTCAGATGAATTATCTCAGGGTTCTTTTTTAGTTCTGCTAAATGCTTCTCCGGAACACACCTTTGAATTCATTTGTGATACTCTTAAAAAAATTCAATTGAATCATTCTGAGAACTGATTTTATTTCTAAAATCTTTTTGGAATTTATCCTTCCCTTGGAATTCAACTTACAGTTTCTAAATTCTCCTCATAAATAAATGTAGTTCTACAAACACTATAGATTTAGCATAGCATATGCAATTGTACAAATCGTGAGTGGTCAACTAGCCTCACAAATACCTTAGATTTCTCCTCCGGAAGCATCTTCGAAGGGCAGTGAGTTTATAGCTGTTTACCGATCTTTGTACAAGTCGAGCGAATTGCAAGTAGAGCAAGGAATTTTGTAGAAGTTCTTGGAACTACATAGAAGCTCTGCTAAAATTTGGAGAATTTCGGGGGGATTCAGCAAGTATTGTAGATGGGAATATTGTAGAAATTCAAATGATAGTCTGAGATCATGATCAAATTTCAGGGAGCAGTAAATTAAATTTACAAATTCAGACAGCTTTGAAAAAATAGTTTAGAACCAATTATGTTAAGATTTCCGTTTTTGCCATTTTTTATCACATGAAAATCACTTTCATTACAACAACACCAGCAGACAAGAATAAAAACCGCGCTTCTTTTGCGGCAAAAACGCTGCAGACAGCGAACGCAAAAGAAACGCTGCAAAAACCCGTGACCAGCGTCGACTTGCCGCGTTGGTTTGAGCGCTTCCGTAAGTCGTCATGCATTTAAAACGTGGCGAGTTTTCCGCCACGTTAAAAACGCGCCAGTTTGAGCGGACCTTACAGCCCCACGTTGACGAAATCATTGCCTGGCGATGGTGTGTTAAAATGCAACTCTTCTTCGTACCTAACTGTTGCAACTCATCCATCAAAGTATGAGCTAGGTGAAGTATTGTCGCACTAAAGGCCTTTCGCTCAATTTCAACTTCTGTTCAATTTTCACACTGCCGTACTCTAATGGAACTATCAATCTATTCTGTTCAGAACTATCTCTAGCTAATACATTATCGCACAAAACCTTCATGTTGATATTAGTATAGCATTTCCTCCCAACTCTGAAAATCGCAAACTTCACGTATGAAATAACAAAACGCCACTTTGATTGAATGCTTGGAATGTTACTTGGGAACGGTGTAAAACAGAAATCAAATGTTAAGAAAGTCATAAAAAACTAACCTGTCCTAGCTATCGTGCTATTAAAATCAGAGAAACAGCCGTTCTCAACTACTTAACAATCATATCACAGCCATTTGGATCCACGATCATCAACAAACCGTTTCAATCAAATTGTCACATTCCAAGATTCCGTCTACAACGTCAGAGGAATTCCCCATGCAATGAATAGTAAAAAATATAACCCCATTAAACTGTTCTTTTTTACGTGATGGTTCAGTCCACGCAGTACCTCATGAGTAACCCCCAATTCCTCGTAATCGGTGCATGTTTCACGTACACTTACCTTCCATCTGATACCAGCTTGGCAAAGGCGGGCATGCGGCATTTAAGATCACACAATCTCACGCTCCCCAAGCTCTCTTTTGCCGGGGTCCAGTGGACTGTTGCTGCTGCTGCTGCTGCTGGAGTTTATCTCAGGTGAGTCATCTCGCTGTCATACGCATGAAGTCTATTTATTATCCAAGTAAGCAAAATTTCATCACCTGAGTACGTCACAAACCGGTCTTCCGATGATGGGGACAATTCAAAACAAATAGTTTGCCAAGCTGTTGTTGTGAAGATTTGCTTCGAGAGCCAAAAACCAATAACTCTCGCGTCTCGCATCTCGTATCAATGTTTTCAAAATCGCCCTGTTTATTCATATCCAAAGACTGAAACCTGTTGCTCATGAACAGCGAAGTCGTTCATCCTCTCGAAAGTCGATTCACAACTCAACACTATCAGTAGTGCTCTCCGTCTCTCTTTTTGCATATCGCGAACGCACATGTGCGCTCTCTCGCTGACCCATTCATGTTTCAAAATTCAGTTCCGCCGGTATCTTCGTCGTGAATGGACGTTCATTTAAAGCAAGCGATAGGAAAATATTTGTTCCTTTGGTTATTATCTGTTTGTCACTGTGTTATCAGCTGATAAATTCGCGATAAGTGATTGCTTAGTCAATGCATTTCTTTGAAGTTCTTACGTTGTGATACTGTGGGAGTGTTCCAACAGATTGGGAAGATTGCAAAAGGTGTGGTTGAAAAATTTCTGTAATTTTGATAAAGGAGGGCTGCAAACAAGTTTGGCATTTGAATCCGGTGGCTAGTGAAGTGGATTTCAGGTTGTTGAGTGAGTCGTTGGGTTCTGCTATAGTGGAACAAAAACAAAACCTCTACAACAGGCATCAGACGTAACCAGTTTTTGTGGTCATAATTTTCGGCAGTACAACAGTGACTCATTTTAAAATACCTTCCCAGAAGAGAAACTACTGGTGGTAGACATCGGCTATGCAGAAAAGATTTGCGTGTTTCTTCGGTTTGTGCATCAAGGAAAAGGAATCCAACCTGGATGAATCATAGCGGATTGACTGCTGAGAGAAAGTTATGGACTTATAATTCCAACCATGTGATGATTGACGGTTGGCCTTCGACAATCCCGGCTGACTGCCGTCGCCGCATGTGGCCAATTAAACTGTTGCGTAATCAATCAAAGCTAGCAGTACTCAGTGGGTCAAGCGCCCATGATTTGAATTGCTTCATTGGTGTATTGAGATTTAGTATTGACAAAAGACAAGCAAGGCTTTGTTTTGTTAACTTTTTCTGGATTTGGGACATACAAGTGACTTTCGCTCACAAACAAAAAAGATGCATCGGAATGAATGACTCTAGCATTTGCTGGTTCTGCTGTTCTAACACTCATCTTTTACAGAACATATTGATATAGGGTGCCCCAGAATGTCTAAGCGCGATTAAAAAAAACAATAACGTAACTCTGTTTACAGCAAGTTCAATTTTTATGTCGTATTCATGTTCTTTATAGTATTCTTAAACAGTTTATTGTAGAAAATCCGAGTTGCGATCATTAGCTTCAGCACAGATGCCTTTTCAACAATTTTTGATACTTTTTCCCAGTGTTTCGCAAACTTTGTAACGGAATGCGCTGCCTTTACATGTTTCCGCAAATATGTTTTGGTCAGGGCCCAAAAAGTTTCGATAGGCCTGGCCTGCGGACAGCTTGGCGGATTCATCTCCTTGGGTATGAATTGGACCTTGTTAGCTTTATACCAGGCTACCGTTTCCTTGGAGTAATGAACCGACGCCAAATCCAGTCAAAACAGCACTGAGGCGTCGTGTTTGTGGATCATGGGTAACAGATGCTTGTTTAAACACTCACTCACGTAAACATCGGCTGTCATTGCCTCCGTTGCCGCAAACGGTTTTGAAAGCATACCACACTCGCAAATGGCTTACAAAATCATAGTGTTTTTAACGAATTTTTCGGAAAAAATCGACTTATCCGCGTCGTCAACATTTCGGCCATCTTGAACGGTGTAGTACTTCCATAATCACGCACACCGATTTTCCGCACAGTAATTGGTCGTATAACTTCCGAGCCCTCGGTTTGAAAGATGCGGCTTGTTTTTCACTCCGCGTTGGCTTCTTCTGCTTCTTATACGTTTTTAGACTCATTCTTGCCTTGGCCCGCTGCACGTTACTCTTCGAGGATTCCACTTATTTAGCCACGTTACAAACTGAAGCACTTTTCTTGCGAGCGAAAGCTTGAACGATTTCCCGGTCAACAGGATTCGGTTTACGTCCAGATTTTGGCTTGTCCTGAAAAGTTGCTCCATCACCATACTTCTGAATCGTGTTTTGATCGGCTCCGATTTGTTGTTGTTGTTGTTTATTACCGACACTTTACATCTGCTGATGCATTCGTGCCTTTAAAAAATGTTAGTGTATAGTGTGTTTTGTGTGGTGTTAGTTGTTAAGTTCACACTTAGCTTCTTTACTGCTCCGGTCCAAATTTCATCGCTTCTGCTACTGCTGTATCTTCTTTTCCTTGCTTCGTTCCACTACATATTCATCACTTCAAATTAAATTCTGTGTACTTTTTGTTTACTTCTCTATTTCATTCATTTCTTCGCCATCATATTATATACAATTTTCTTCCTCTCCGTCTGCTGCTAATTCCCTTCATCATCTCATATTTCTTGCTTCTTGTATTCCCAGCCACTACCATATTCTTTTCCTCTCCAACAGCTTCTGATTCCCCTCCACCATGTTTTCATTTCCTGCTTCAATCTTCTTTTGATATCTGGTTTCACCTTCTTTATCACCATCTTCTTCATCCGTGTTTGTGCTTTTCGTTTTGCTTCGCGCTCTACTTCATCCTCTCCATAACCATATTCTTCTCCATCTTCTTATGCTTTTTTCGCATCATCTTCTGTCATCTTCATCAGCTTCCATGTTTGCCCTTAGATAGCGGCAACTCTTCTCCTTCGTCTTCTTGATTTTACTTCGTTCTTCGCTTGATCTTCTGTCCCGCTTTCGACATCTAATTCTCCATTCATGTCTTCTTCTGCTCCCACCTTGTATGTTTCTTCTCCTTCTTCTTCTTTTTCGCATTTCAAGCTTATTGCATATCGCATATTAGCTTATTGCGTGCTCTCAACTTAGTGTTCTAGATGCACTTCCACAGTTATTAATTGAGAGCTTTCGATGCCTGTACCATTTTTGCATTGGTATAATTGTGTGGCAAGTCCAATCATACTTCTATGCCCAGGGAAATCGAGAAATTTTCCAACCCGAAAAATTCCTAGACCGGACCGGGAATTGAACCCAGCCACCTCCAGCATGGTCTTGCTTTGTAGCTGCGCCTTTACCGACTGAGCTAAGGGAGGCTTTCTTCTCCATCATCCTCTGTTTTCTTCTGTTGTCCTTAACGTCCTCTGAACCCGCTTATCCTCGTTCCTCCCTTTTCCTCGTTTTCACAATGTTTGATAGATATTAGCTTCATGCGGGAACTTCAGTAACCATTTTTCACTGTCATCATCGTTGCAAAGTGCCGAATAAAGACTAGTTGGATGGATCTCATGTTTCGTCCTGACTGCTTCAAATTTCCTGCAGTGTAGAATTACGTGCCGGACATCCATAACCGTTCCACAGCATTCACATGTCGGTGGTGATGATTTCTTTAATAGAAATTCGTGTGTCAGCTTGGTATGGCCGATGCGCAAACGAGTGAGTACTCGCTGGTCGGCAGAACTTTTCTAATCGATCCACTTTTTCGTGTCACGTTTTATCTCCTTCAGCTTGACTTCTGTAAGTTGCGCCCATCGTGCCTCCCACTGTTTCATTTGGCTTAATGGCATCTTTTCCTGGAATACCGATATTGATTGGCGGATTATTTCGTGTTTCTCCGGCGAGTCGGTCCGCTTCTTCGTTGCCACGGATGCCAGCGTGGCCGAGAACCAAACACAAGTGAATCGGACGGTTTCGAAGCAGACATTCAATTTCTTGGATCCAGGGATGCTGTGATTTGCCACTCTCTATTGCTGAAAGACAGCTAGCCGAATCGGACAGAATGATCGCGTCAATTATTGTACAGGCCTCCGCTGAAAAAACGCTACATTGTGACGGAAGGCCTATTGAACATCCGCCCACCTATCTGCCACTTCCGCAGAGTGCGTAAAATGCCGTATCTCCAGGTGGTATCTAATCGTCCTTTTGACTCCAACTCCGTCGTCAATCTACGGTTCACCATGCACTCGAACACCTTCGCGATACTGTTGATAGGTCGGAAAGCTGCAGGATCAGACTCAGATGAATGCAGCTTTGGAATCGGCACTATTATTCCGGTTCACCAGCTGATAGGGTACACGCCACTACACCAGACTCTGTTTAGAAGCTCCAGTAACGCGATCTTGACGCATACAGGCAAACGTCGGAGCATCGGATACCCTACCGAGTCAGGACCAGTAGAGACACTACGTCCTTTGTCCAGTGCCCACAGGAGCTCTTCCAGGGTGAAGTCTAAATTATAGATGTCGTTGGTGTTTGGAAGAGAGTCTACACGATCCCGTTCCGCTCTTTCCTTCGCTGCTTGGAACAGTGGGGGATAGCTAGAGGTCGCCGATCTCTCGCAGTAGTGTTTCACCAGTTCTTCTGCTACATCTTTTGCCTTATCTGTGTAACCGTCGGGTCGTTTGATAACCGCCTTGTTGTGCTGCCGCTTACCTCTCAGGGTGTTCATCGTCTGCCACATTTCTGCCGTTGTGCTGCTCGGAGATATTTTTACGACAAAGTCCTCCCATGAACGTTCCTTGGCTTTCTTAGCCGCTGCCTTCGCTTTCTGGAACTGCTCCAAAACATCTGCCGTATCTAATCCCGCTTATCTGCTGCGCTTCAATGCTCTCAGAAGTTTTCGGCGCTGCTTAATCTTAATACATTCTCTCGACTTCCCTGGGCAGAGAGTATCATTGTGCTTGCCACACAATATACAAATTCATGCATTGGGATTGGCATCGAAAGCTCTCAATAAATAACTGTGGAAGTGCATTTAGAACACTAAGTTGAAAGCACGCAATATACTATAATATGCGCTAAGCAATAAGCTTAAAATGCGAACAAGAAGAAGAAGTAATTGCCATTGGGACCAACTCGTCCTGATGTTCGAGGGATGCGTGCTGTTGCTGCTGATAATACCCGATCGACGAACTTATCAACGTCAAGCTCGTCGTCTGATTTGATGCTGCGATAAGTCAGCCGTTCGAATGATGTCCAATCCGCTTGGTCGTAAAGCCATCTTCTCCGCTTCGTTGTGACCTGTGACCATTCAGGTGAAGAGACGGTGATCGGAGAGAGGTTAAGCAAACCCCACACGCATCAATATATTGACGCGAAGGGGAATTATTGACAAAAATATTGATGATGTGAATTCAGAAATATTGTCAATCTCGATGTATTGACGTCAATATAGAATGTATTGACAATACGATTATTGTCAATAAAAGCAATCGTGTAGAGTCCACTTTACACTTTTCAATTTGCAATTGATTGATGGATTGAGCTTATTCAGAGAATTATTGGGAATGGTACACCATTTGTGCATGATCTGTTTGGGCTTTTTCGAAGAAATGATTCGCATTCTCACGGAAATGTAAAAATAAACCGACACTTTCAACTGTTGGTCGAAATGTAAACAATGATTCAGCGTGATAATCAACTGTTTAAACAGCATCTGAAACAAGCAGGGGTGTTCCAAAGTGATGCTTAGATATTCTGGAACACCCTATAGATGAACAAAGACAATAATTCTGCATTTGTAAAAAGAGCAAGTTTCGGTGTGATCTTTTGACGTAGAAATACGTCTTTGTCGACTATACTGGGGTGCAAATCAAAAAATATGTTTGGTGAAGGAGTGTTAGGTTTTGAACGCTTGTAACTTTGTCATTTATAGATGAAATTAAAATGCAAATACGCCAATCGATAGGATATTACATTACGAACCTGTTGAAATAAATATTTTTCCAATTTTTCTGTAATTAAACTATTGAAAGCGTACAAATGATAATTTTATCACTGATTTCATGAAATGAGCCTTTTTCCCAAACCCAGTCATCATAAACGAATATCACTTGGTTGCACATCATTCTGCTTGAACCTTAAAGGATATAAATCAGCGCTGCTCTCATGCCTCTGCACAGTGGAACAGATTTTTTTTTTTCCTTGATTTGTTTTCCGTACTGAGTAACAATACTACTAATACCAAAGAGGCAGCTTCCACATCTGGACCCTACCTAACAACCCCTCAACTCATGGACTGAGGACCAACGGCTTTACTTGCCGTTGCCAACTCGGATTGAACCCAGGCGCTTTGGCGTGAGAGGCAGTCACGCTTACCAGTACATCACCGGTACCGCTATTTGTCTGTCCTTCTAAAGAATAATTTCTGAGCAACCTGGTATCATGAGAAAACGTCTAATAAATGTGATTTGAATTGATGGATAGTTGAAGATCTTTAGAATAATACGTGATCAACCTGAAGTCTTGAAAAAATATCACGAAGATTTCATGAAGATCTTAGAAGATCGTTGAAATAATTTCTGAGCAACCTGGTATCATATGAGAGAATATCTGTTTGCTGTAAAAGACGTTTGCGTGTTCATGAAATTCTGTGAAGATGAGCATGATTGACCGCCCAGGGTTGCTACTCTGTTATTGCTGGATCAGCTGTAATTACACAGAGAACCAATAGACGATGCTTGGGACTAGCAGTCATCCTCAATGTGTAAAAATTGATGATCTCAAACTAGGCAATAATAGCGCCGGTTGCGCCCGAACGCAGGTCAAGAAAGGAATGGATAGGAATGTGTTGACGTGACACTCGCTTTGATGCAAGCCGAGAACACCTCTGCACTTCCACGACGAATCACTGGGATATCGGGTAAGAGGGTTGGGATAACAGTGGGGTTCGCTTTGGTAAACGATAAGCTGAATTGATGTCCTAACTATCATATAACGCGAAGGAGCTTGGAATTGAACCCATGATCTTCTGCTCAGTAATCAAAAGCGATTGCCTCTAGGCAAACGAGCTTCTTTTTATTCATAGAGTTGATGTTATTACCATGATGTCATATTATTATGTCATATGTAGTCATTAAAACGAATGACGAATCTTGAATGTGGATGGGCCTGAAATTAGACTCATGATGTTCTGCTCAGTAAGCAAACACGATCACTCTAAGGCCATCGAGCCCCTCATATCACATCATGCCTTTACTTGTTATTGTACCCATTCAAACCCGCCACCGACGACGGCAAGTTTCGCAAAATACACGATAAACAAACGATTTGACGTTTTTCTGCTCAATAAGCAAACCACTGCAACCGACGATCTTTCAAATCCAAAAGCTAAAAGCTAAGAAAAAGCACTTAGGCCTTCATTAAGTTCCACTTTCACACAACATTCAATGTTTCGATTTGCTATTTACGCATTGCTCAGGCTATCGTTCCTCTTACATCATAACAAGCTATTACCAACGTAACGATTGTTAAGGCCCTGATTAAACAAGATATTAAAATTAATTAACGTTCTCGAAAACAGTCAATAATGTATTCCAACTTTCCATGAAGTTCTGTAATATACTATGAAATTCCCAGAATGATGTTCTCCGATCTTTTATAAAATACCCCACACTTCTATTAAACTACCTGATCTTCAATGATTCTTATTGAAACTTTTTTTTTTTTTAAATACAAGATCCATAAAGTTTACTTTTCTCTATGAAGTTCTCGATTTATTTGTAAAGCTTTTCAAATTTTTATGAAGCTCTCCGAACTTCTATGAAATACACCCAAACTTCTCAGAAGATCAAAAAAATTCTATAAAATTCGCAAATTTCTATTAAATCCTCTCAACTGCAATGAAATTCTCTCAACATTTACGAAAAAAATCTCCAAGCACATCCAAAGAAATTTTAAACAGAGTTCCATTCGTGTTTCAAACCTGCTCACAAATAAAACATAATAGTCGAGCAGTTGTCAATTGGTGCAAAATAGTGCTCGAATAATGAAACTGCAACTCTGCATTGCAAGGGGTACGTTTCTGTTCTAGTTTCAAATTGAAACAGTCCATATAACATACAACAGCAACGGCCTAAGGCTGTTATAATTATTAATATTATTCCCAAAACTGCTGCTTCATTTGGGCACCTTCATTATTACATTGAATAATTTGAAACCAATTGAAAGAAGGATCGAACGACTAAGCTCCACCGACAGCCTCAAATACGAACATAATTTGCTACCGGGAACACTGCTGATCACAACAAACTACATCATCTTCTGGGTCAGATAAATTGTAGTGCAAAATGATTCATCACCCGCAAGCATGCTCTATCCTTCCGATTCACCGTCGAGACTTAAACCCGCCATTCGTAGATTGATGTCGTGTACCTAACAAAACGTTCTGTTTGTTTCGCTATTCCCAGTTTGCCTCCAACAGACAGCAGTCGGCGATGTGAATTCTTGCATGATCTGTCCGTCCATCAGTAGCAGCTGCTGTAGCCCAGTCCGCCAGTATCCAACGAAACGATGATATCATCCGTGCCTTCGAGACTGAAGTGTTAAAAAGTGAAATTGAACAACAAAGTCCACCTTACCACGTGCCAGATTGTAAGCCTACATACCGGGTTTGTTCGGCACGCTAAATAACGAAAATGAAGCCACCAGCATCAGCACCACCGTCTGTGATATTAGTGTTAATAGTGTTACTGTCAGTGATCAAGGTGAATGGATTTAATCTGTCACCTCAGCCCAACTATGTGTTCAATGAGCCAAAGCTCCAAACCTTCATGGAGACGGTGCGGTCGTCGTTCTTTGGATTTTCCCTCAACCTGAGGCCTGGAGGGTAAGTCTTTCGGTGGGGTGGGAAAAGGGTAAATGTTTTGTTTGAAATTGGTTTAAGATTGTTTGTTTGTTACGAGGATGAGTAATTTCTTGTTGAAGCTTTTTCAGTTGGTGACAAAGAAACTGAATCACATCCGATCATATATAAGTTACAGTTCAATTATCGCCTTCGAATATTGTGAATTCACCGTAATTGCATTCCATCACTTGACCATCATCAATTTGTTGCACGGAATCGGTTTCAACTTGACGCATTCGTATGGACTACTCATGTGTGTTGTTTATCTTGACGCAGTGCATTTTGCACTTCCTATCCGTGCGTTTGGGCTGGGAAAGATAGATAAGCGGAAGGAGTACTCTCCCTGTATGACGACGTTGTTGTCGTTGCTGATAGGCACGAGCTGAATGTGCCGTGTTGCTTATCGTTTCCTGAAGAAATGCGTTCTCGGAACAAGTTGTCACACTTTACAACTCGGTTGCAATGGGAGGTTTATTGGTATCATGTGATTTGCGATTGCTAATGGCAATACTGGCTAATCAATACTGCGATGGGCATTTAATGTGAGTAGTTTGATTTGCGTTTCTATTGCTGCAATGAAATGGCTCTGCCCCCCGTTTACTATACTGCCATACAATGAAACCACTGGAAATGGCTCCCGTTGTGATAGAGAACAGCGAAAGATAAGGTGTTTAGTTTGTTGTACCTTTTGACTATTTATTTAAGATGTTTTGTATAGTAAACTAGAATTTTCGGTTCTGTAAAGATGATTCGATAAATCTTAAGATCCTCGGCGCACATAAGGCGATGTGATTCAAGTCAGAGGTTTAAGAATAAAAATCAAGGGCCTGATGTGGCTGCCTTTCGCATGCCAGGTGGTGTTGCAAAACGAGTTGACTCGGCGTGGGTACGACCGTAACCACCTTATTAGTCAGTTAGGAAATTCCAACCTTTGGAGATTTCTCAGAGTTAATTCATGATGCACTTTATCAAACACTTTGGATAAGTTCACGTAAATACTGTCAACTTGGTAGCGCTTTTCCAAACTGGAGTTTAGGGTGCTAGCGTATGCCATCAGATTCGTAGCGGTAGAATGATTCTTCACAAATCCATGCTGATATTGAGAAATTATGGATTTAGCAGTTGAGATGGTTGAATAACCATCAAATAGCTGGTCCGAATACTTCAGCACATCGACGAATAAACACGGGAGGTAGTTTATTCGATCCACGACCTTTTGAGGAATCTGTGGAGTTCAGCACATTGGGGTGACATCTGCTATGATGAACGTTGGGCACGGAAAACGTATATCGTAAGGCGGTAGGGAATTTAAGAATTTCGGACAGTCTGTCGGATACAACTGTACACTGATTTTAAATAATCGGCAAAGAGTTTGACTGAACCTACGATGTCGTGACTCGTTTTGCAATCGAATGTCATTTCCGATGGAAACGACTGAGTGACTTTCCTGCTTTTGAAAAAGCGCCAGAAAGAAGAGGGATTCGCTTTAACCTCGTCTTCGATTCGAAAGATATACTCACGGAACAAGGTAGAGACGCTATCTTCGTATTCAGCTTCGAGTCTGGAGTACGGAGTTGGTTTCCCTGGACATTGCGAAAGCCTTCAACCGTACATGGACGCCCGCGGTACTGAAGCAACTCGTCAGCTGGGGCCTTAGCGGTCATTTCATCCATTTTGCCCAAAATTTCCTGACTGGCAGATCCTTCCGAGCCTCGGTAGGTAATACCAAATCCCGCACTTAGCCATGAACAGTGTCTTCGAGCGGTTACCAGCGAACATCTACATTTTCGTGTACGCAGACGACGTGCTAATCGTAGCCACAGGTCAAACTCCGTGACGAACAAGGATTAGAGCCCAAGTAGTGGTTTCCGCCGTAGCCAGATGGGCCGCTTGGAAAGGCTTTCAACTGTCTGCTGGAAACAGCGGTAAGTGCCACGTTTGCCAGTACCGACATCGGGTCTGCCGGCCTTTCATAAAGATCGGTAATCAAGCCATCCCATTGAAGAAAACTGTGGATCTGCTGGGGTTTGTCATACCAAGCCGGGAACAATTCCGTAGCCCTCAGGAGATCGGTAACAGAGCTGACCGAATTGTACCCAAACTACATGCATCGTTACACGGACGGGTCAAGATCTAGAGCTGGAGTCGGAATGGGAATCGCTGGTGACTTTTGCCCACCGAGTAGAAGTCTGCATAAACAATGTTCAGTGTTCTCGGCAGAAGCAGCGGCTATTCTTCATGCCGTCACGGTTCCTGCGGATCACCCAATCCTGATTCTGTCGGACTTCCACAGTGTTATTCAGGCCCTTTCGTCAGAGTTCCCGGTCCACCTCTGGATCCAGGGCATCCTTAAGGTTGCGCCACCAATCACTACCTACGATGGGTTCCCGGACTCTGTGGGATCCCAGGGAACATCGAGGCGGACAACCTAGCCGGGTCAGGCCCATCTGGTCCTCGGTACTCGCACAAGGTGCCGTTGCAGGACGTGAAGAGATGGATCACTTGCACAGTGTGGATAGCGTGGGCAACGGAATGGTCCAGTTCCAGACTTCCGTTTATTAGAAAAATTAAATGCGACATCGGAAAGTGGACGGTCTTGCAAACCTGCGAGATCAGAGGGTTTTTTCCAAACTCCAGACAGGACACTCCCTAATTTCACGGGATTTCAGCGGAGGACCCTTCTGGAAGACCTGTGATTTCTGCCATATTCCTTCGGCGGTGGAGCACGTGTTATGCTACTGTGTTATTGTACTAGCTCTTGATATTTTTAGCTAACTAGATTATCAAAGGTTGAAGTAGCATGATACTCAAGCAATGTGGCTGGAGGACCTCTTTCTAAGGCTTCCCATCCTTTACGGAAATGAACTAGCCTACGGCTAAAAATCTCCTAAATAAAGAAAGAAGAAAATCCGAGTCTACGAAGACTGATCCTGTTTTCTGCGGTTCGATGCTGTAAGAAGCGGCGGCGAACTTTTTTAAGAATGTTACGTCGGTGTCGAAGCTCGGCCTTCCCCTACGATTGATTGTCCGTGCGATGAGGGAGCACGTGTGTCCGCGGTGTGTGCCCACCTAAAATCCTGAAAATCACGTCCTAGAATGCGGTAGCTGCTGCATTTACATTGGCACCGAGGAAACTGTCATCCCAGTTCAGCAGACGTAGATCTTCCATAGCGGCATCATAATCGCATCTATTAAAATCTAAATCGAGGTTTGTTGGAATATAGGGGTTACTTTCGTATGGCCAAACGAAAAACAGACGGTTAAAGGGTAAAATCGGGAATGGTGACCAGAATGGTCACCGTTCATTAGTTAAGGGCAATAAGTGTTTTTTTGTTATAACTATTATTATTAAAATTACGATTTTATATTTGGTACATCTGTAGATGGTAGTCTATTATTATTATTTAACTTTATTAATGAGGCTTTCAGCCTTGGGCTGGTTCGCCTCCATGATGGTAGTCTAGTCGCAAAGGAGTATTGAGCGAAAACCCAAAACTTTTTTTTTTTTTTTTAAATGCGTTTATTTTTCCAGGCTCATTTTCCGTAGCTTTGCGGAGCCGATATTCATTGTTTGGATGACAAAATTTCTTAAAACTAACGTTAGTAAAGCGGGGGCCGATTACTCGCGGCTATCTCGAGGTTAGGGGTAACAAATTGTAACAAATGGATGGCAGGGTAGGGATTGAGAACACAAGGTTTGGAGAGCAATGTGCTTTTTATCTCGAACTAAGCGACCAACTGACGAAAAAGACAAACATGGGGGTACACCGGTGGGCAGCTAACAACTTGGGGGGACACAAGATGACACTAACTACTAAATCCTCAGATCGATCCGTTTTAAAAACACATAAATTAAATTAAAATATTCGAGATCTCGGCTCGCCAAGATGTCTCTAACGGGCCGCATAGGTTGTTTTCCTCGGGCCCTGAGGGATGCGGATAACTCGGATCTAGCAACACAATGTAGGGTGCATGACCAAAGCACGTGGTCGATATCGTGATAGCCACTACCACAAGCGCACAAATTGCTGCCTGCGAGCCCGATTCGGAAGAAATGCGAGTCTAACGAGTAGTGATTGGACATGAGCCTTGATATGACACGTATAAAGTCACGGCTCATGTCCAATCCTTTGAACCATGGCTTGTTCGACACCTGTGGGAGAATAGAATGTAACCATCTTCCCAGATCACTCTCATTCCATTTTTGTTGCCAGTTGGTGAGGACGTGCTGACGGGTAATTGAGAAAAATTCCGCAAAGGCGATTTGTCGATCAAAAATATCGCCTTCCATAGCGCCCACCTTAGCTAGCGAGTCCGCTTTCTCATTACCCGGAATTGAGCAATGAGATGGAACCCAAGCTAAGGTGATAGTATAGGAGCAGTTAGATAAAGTACTCAATTTTGCTCGGATTTCGGTCAGGAAATACGAGGAGTGCTTCATCGGCCTCATTGATCGAATAGCCTCCAACGAGCTAAGGCTATCAGTAAAAATAAAATAGTGATCAGATGGTAGTGAGGCAATTTGCTCTACTGCGTAAAATATGGCTGCTAGTTCCGCAACGTATACGGAACAGGGTTTTTGCAGTTGATATGAGGCGCTATGAAATTCGTTGAATACTCCAAATCCAGTGGAAGCGTTTATAGTTGACCCATCTGTGAAAAAACTCTTATTGTTACTAACATGGTGGTACTTGTTTGCAAAAATTAAGGGAACAACCATCGATCGATGGTGATCTGGTATTCCACGGATTTCTTGCAACATGGTCAGATCAAAATTTACAGAGGAACTATAAAAGTCTTGGAGGCAAACACGAGAGGAATTGAATGAAGAAGGGCCAATCTCCAGCGTCATGTAATCGTAATAGAGACTCATGAATCTTATTTGAGGATTTCTGTCGAGCAGCTTCTCAAAATTTTCTAATGGGTTCATTACTTCACAACGGATAAGAAACCGGAAGGACAGTTCCGCGAAACGATCTGTC